TAATTTTCAGTTTAAAAAATATGACTACTTAAATAACCATAATTTAATTATTATTTTTTTTTTCTTTTCTTTTCAATAACCTATTTTTATCCCTTCATAACATGTCAGTTCAAACTCAAGATATCCATCCATTTATCTATACCATGGCCATGCAAATATACTCACAGGCTGTCACAAAAAAATTATAATAAAATCAACAACTCGAAAAACGCAACAACTAAATTCTGTATTCAACATCTCCACATTTATTCCTCTAATTTATTCTATAATTTAATAATAAATAAATGAATGTATCTCGGAATTAGCAAAAAAAATAATAAAATAAATAAAAATATTTTCTAATAAGAGCAAAACACATGCACAGGCTAGCCAGAAACTATCATTAATTTACAACCCAATTAATTCCTTTCACTCAAATTCTCTTTGCTAAATTAATTATTGTGCATCTTTTAATTAACTTGTTGCTACAAGATTCTTGATAGCAACTTTACGGTTTTGCTATGAAGTCAACCGTTGGTTTTATAGTGGAGCCAACCTTCTATATACAACAAGTAAATTTGCCATATTCGTTGATTACTTAAATAACACTAATATAATTTTATTAATATGGTAGGTTTATTTGTTGAATATAGAAGGTTGACTCCATTATGGAGCCAACTGTTGACTTCATAGCAAAACCTAGCAACCTTATTAGATAAATAAAATTTCAGAATTAATGTGAGTGTACTATTGAATTTAGGGAATTTTAACTTGCGCATATTTTGAATTAGAGCTTGTACGTACTGTCAAATTGAACTGTATCGAGTGGAGTTGTTTGTAATTCGAAGCACATTATCATTTAATTAGGCTTAATATAAGCTAATCGGGACACGTGTCCTCTGCTCATTGGACTCACAAATGGGGTCCGTCAATGACTCCACCATGATCTTATTGGCGTAGCTTATTCGCGGGTTGTGTGCAACTTACACCGATAGGCGTTGCCGCGTTGGCCTCTTTTTTGTACCAAAAATAATAATAATAATAATTCATCACATCTGAAAACCCCATGTGATCTTCTCATCAATATATAGGCACTTAAAATCTCTCTGATTTTTCATCAGGGCCAATTTGTGGATATACTCAAACAGGACAAACAAAAGCCAGTTCAACTAAAACCCCTTTTTGCACTCATGTAATTATAATAATTGTCCACAAAATCCAAGTGGTGAAAAATATGTCTTTTTCCGAGTAATTAATAATGATACTTAGAATTAATATAATTTAGAAAGTGGCAACTCCCAAAGAGAAAAAAATAATAATAAAAAAAAAAATAGAGGAAATTTATTTGATAGGATGAGAAATTAATCACGGATAGGAATACAACCTATTTAATTACAACCTATTATATACACAAAGTTACAAAATCTCAAGATTTTAAGGGACCTTAACTACATTTAATTAGACAACCATATTTTTTCAACAGATCTATTTTCATACTTTCGAATTAAACGTCATATATACGTTTGAAACATCATAAAAAAATTTTGACATTTCATAGGGTAATTAAATATATATTTTTGTTAAATAAAACAAAAAAAAAATAAAGCAAAAGGTCGACCGTCTAACGATTAGGTCGTCCGATGCAATAATTTGTACATTTAAAAAAGGCAACATATATCAATTAATCAAAATCATTTGACTATATATAGTATAATTTAAACCTCATTAATTTGTGTCTAGTCTAGCTAGCTAGGGTTTGATGAGGGTCCTAATCAATAATTCTTTATCCAATTCCTCCTAAGATACACACACATACTCTTAGATCTCAACTTGTAAAATTAATTTAAATAAATAAATAAAATAAAACAATACAATAGTACAAGATAATTGTTAATATGAATTAAAGTTATATATATACACACAAAGGGCCCTTAAGAGCCATGATGCAAATAATATTCTCTAGCATGAATATTAAAAAGGGAATTTTGTTAATACTTAAATGGTTTGATTCCTTTGTAGTTGGTGGCAATTTTTTGGAAGGATTGTGAAATGAAAATAAATAAAAGAAACCTCAAAAAGCTAAATAAGGGAACACAAGTGTATGGACTTTGTGTTAATTATTATTCACTGCAATAAAAACACAAGATGATAATAGTACAAATGAAAAGGGA